AAGAAGATTTTCGCTTTTATGATGAGACAAAAATTTAAAAAACTTTCAGCTTTTATTTTGCAGTGAGTCATTATAGAGTCTGATCCAAATGCATGCTACTTACCACTGTATTTCCCCATCTTCTCCATCTTCTGCTAAGTCAAATTCTTAGACATTCTTGTGATGAAACAAATCCAAGACACCAAATCACCCTGCTTCTACTCATGTTTCTGTTTTTCCATATCAAGCATGCAACCAGTTTTTGTTTAATTACTCTTTGCTTGGTCTATTTCCACATACTTGCATCATTATACTTTTACTAGAGGCCCAGTGCACGAATTCGTGCATGGGTGGGTCCCCTCTGGATGGCCTGTGGTGATCAGACCGAAAACCAGAGTCCAATTCTGCCTGCAGCTCCTACCTGCCGTTCCTGCTCATCCTGGCCCCACTGTGCCTGCCACGGGCTCACGCTCAATCAGTCTCAATAGGGAGAGGCTCAAGCTGCTGCAGCAGCGCTCACCAGCCATGAGCCCTGCATCTGGTGCCCTCCTGAGGGTAGTGGCCTGTGGGATTGGGGGCCTCTATTATTTTATAAACTTTGATCTTTTAACTGTTAAAATGCATGGAAAATAGTGGAAGGAAATAAATGTCAATAACAGTTACTACTGGAAGACTACAAAATAGGAATTGGGAGGAGGATTGGAGTTGATGATAGTAGAGAAAGAGATAATATGGAGTTTTTTTTTTTCCTTTTTGGTACTGATTCTTTATACTTTTAGTACTTTCTTACTATTCCATAATGAATTTGTATCTCTCACATAAAAATTTGTACTAAAAATACACAAGTAAACTTGACATAGAAGGCATGACAACCAAATTTGACATGGAAAAGTGTTAACACTGAGTGCAAGGTTATGATTCTAGTATTCTAAAAATTTGAGTCTCCTATTAAAAGTAGTTGGCTTAAAAAACACACCTAATTTTGCAGAACCTTGAATTGTCCAAAGATAAATGTTGCCATAATTACTTCCCCCAAAGAAATGCTTTAGTCCATGCAAAACCCCTAGCTGTTGCCCTCCTGTCCTATGGTTTTAAATACTATCTATCTAGTGAATCTTCAGATTTTACTTCCCCTTTAACTCTATATTCATACATCCAATTGCTTACACAGTGTCTCCATTGGGGTAATTAATAAGAATTTCAAAACTGAGCGTATCAAAGATACCCTCAAATTTGCTCTTTCACTGTTTTTCTGAAATTGTAGGTATTGGCATCACCACTCTTGCTCAGGTCAAAAACTGGTGTCTGATTTCTTCTTCACATGGAATCCATCACCAAATCCTTTTGGCTTTCCCACCAAAAGACAATGACTTCTGACTTCTCCCTATGACTACCACCCAGTCCACCTTAGCTCCCACCTTCTCTCACCTATTAAAAAAAGTTTAACTTCAATAAACATGACACTCTGAAGTAAAAGCAGCCACGAGAATCGTGCTACCTTCACTGGTTTCATGATCTGGAACAAGGTTCAAATGCAACTGCCCCACAATCGTTTCCAGCAAGGTGTCCTTATGGGAGGTGAACTGAGCTGACTGTGGGCACAGTGGCTCCTTTGCCTTCACTCGATCCTTTAAAAAATGAGCCGGGACCGGTTTGACTCAGTGGATAGAGCGTCGGCCTGCGGACTGAAAGGTCCTGGGTTCGATTCCGGTCAAGGGCATGTACCTTGGTTGCAGGCACATCCCCAGTAGGGGGTGTGCTTGAGGCAGCTGATCGATGATTCTCTCTCATCGATGTTTCTAACTCTCTGTCCTCCTCAATTCCTCTCTGTGTAAAATCAATAAAATATATTAAAAAAAAAAAAAAAAGAACTTTCCAAGTACCTGAATGTGTGTGTGTAACTTATTGGGTAGTGAAGCCTGGTGAGGCTGTCAGAATGAGTGAGTGTTACTTTTAAACGTTAAAATAAAATAAAAATTTTTATATATACTAGAGGCCCGGAGCACAAATTTGTGAATGGGTGGGGACCGGCTGGCTTGCCCTGATTGGGGCTGATTGGGGCTGGCCCAACTGGGGGGAGGGGCCAAATGGGGCTGCAGTGTGGGTCAAAGCAACCAGTCGTTCTGGTGTTCTGGTCACTTGGCTTTTATTACCCCCCTCCCACACACGTGAATGCACATATACATGGAATAAGGCCTCTAAATGACTTAAAATCAGATGGCAATATTGTTTAAAGTACTATTAACACCACAAATGTCTGTCTGTCTGTGTACATGTATGCATATACAAAGAGAATGAACAAGTGAATGAGTGAAAGAATGAGAATATATATGAATCAGAGCAATCTGTCTTTTGGTTAATTAGTTCATTGTGAAGATGTGTCTAAACTTATCTAAAGAATTTCCTCATTTGTATTAAAATACACTTCAAAAAAGACCATGAAAACACAAATTTAGTTGACAGACTACAATGGGATTCAGAAAAAGACACAGTGAATATAGACTTCAGTGCAATTTCATGCTGGTGATTTTTCTTTTTTAAAATGTAAGCCACTAATATTTCAAAAAAAAAAATTTAAACCAAAAGTTGCATATTAATATTACACACAAACTGAAACATAAGTGACTTTTAGCACAGTGTATACATGCTTACAGAAACTCAAATATTTACACATTTAAAACAATTTCCATTTAACATATAAAGTTCTGAAATACATAAATGCATTAATACTTTCTATAAAACTACAATTAGAACATTGATTTGCTACAAGGATATAAAACATCAAGTGCTTTCTTGGAGTTTCAAGTTACCTCTTTAAAGCAAGATCTTGCTTGCACATATAGTCCGTCTCCAAAAAGCAGTAAGAACTTTTCATTTCCAAGAGGTTGATTTCCCAGGTACATGATAACTCGAGAAAATGAAGCCAACAATTATGCAATATAATTATGTCATAACAACTTAATTGCACATAATGCTGTAAAGTAGGTTTGGATGAAGTTCTCCAACACTTTGGTATATGTTCTTCAGGGACTTCTATTTGAAATAACAGGGATTATAAGTTCCTTTAATTCCCATTTTGCTTTAAAATGGACAAATCTTTGGTTAAAGTTCTACATTTCAGGCATTTGTTAATTAAAATGGTCCCCTAACCAATAAATGGCGCTGATGTATTAGTTTACAAGATTTCTTTTAACCTGTTTCTGGTGTAGTGGGAGGCTAGAAATACTTACTGTGACATGTCATTGACAGTTTCTATTTTTCACTTAAAAGCAGAGAAATCAACAGGTTTAGTCAATATTTCTCTGTTCACTTTCTGTTACAATCTGAACTGCACAGTAATTTGCAATAACTATAGTGTTGCACAGTATATGTGATGATTGGAAAGATGTATAGCATTGCATTTAGAGTTAGTTTAGTCAGAATAAGTCAATATTAGATTGTACAGTAATTCTGCATTGACTATAGTAGGTTGTCAGGTAAAGCTTATTTAAAAACCCAATTCATTCCATTTATAAGAGAAATTGTTGCAAATGTATAAAACAGTAGATATACAAGAAGAACACCAAACATACTTTATTAGCACAAAAAAAGCATCCATAACAAGGCACAGCAAGCAGAGAAACATACATTAGCAGGAAAAGGGTTAGTGTTGCATACAAATATAGCTTTTCTTTTTTGTAGCCTTGGCAATAAGCCATCAGGATGTAAAATAACTTTCTGTAGCAGCAGGTAAGGGAACTAAGGAGCACTCACCAGTGGTACAGAGCACATGAACAAAAAGACACAAGAATGGATTCTACTACTTTAGTGCAAAATGTCTAGGAGAGAATTGGAAATTCAGTTCAAAGCTAAGAAGCAAACACTAGAACTTGCTATTACTTCCAAAATAGCTCACTCAAGTAGTATTTCATACTATTCTAAGTGACAAAAAGGTGCTAAGTTATTTACAGATACAATGGTTGTACAGTACCTTTTAAATCTGCAACTTAGATTTCAAATTTTCCATTAAAAATGAAATTCTTTCAATTCCATTGAAATTCTATAAATCATACTTTAAGCAATTCATCGATGAGCATTTACAACAAAGAGATAAATACTGCCATCCAAATTATTACAGTTTAACAATAACCTCAACATTAGCAGTCACTGTCGTTATTATTTCTGACTTGTTTGGACATCGTCTAGTCTCATTTTCTTTATGGTTCACAAACTTGTCATGAGCATAGGAAAAGATGCAACATTAATAAATCAACGATTAGACTGCATATGTCAACTTTAAACATCACACACAGGACTAAATTGCAGCAGCTATTCCCAATATGTTTTAAGTTAAAACACTCATTAAAAAATTAACACCTAAGGCTTTTAAATAAAATTCTCCTACCAACTTTATAAGTCTGAAATTTTAAGAAAAACTGGTTTACTTAACAGTACCATTTGCAGAAGAGAAAAAAAACTAACTATAAATTATATCAACACTTAAGTGAACTGCACTATGCCCTTGTGGCCAAAAAATTGCATTTATTTTTAAAATTTTTTCTAAAAGAAAGGCAGTCTTTACTTTTTGGACTTCCGAAGCTTGATTTGTAGTAATTACAAACAGCACTACTTTTGGAAGGTAATAGAAAATTTCTTAGAAAAAAATAATAATTTCAATCATTAGTCACACTGTTGAAAAACTCATCCAAAATTAACAATTTGTTCTTTAGTAAGAAATAGAATTCTTAATAGCAAATGCCTCAGAATTGACTCATTCAATAACTTTAGCCATTAAAAACCAAACAGCTAAATCGGCAAACTATTTTTGTAGCCTTACTGAACACCTCAGTTCTATCTTCTGTTGTCTCAATAGCCACCACGTTTTTCTGAGTAACAGCAGATCGCATCTGATGGATACTAACACCTCTGACAGATACTAACACTAAGCTTACATACTGTACTGAAAAAACCTAACACTGATATGTGTGCTTGCTATAGGTGTACTGTCTGATGCACATAAAAGCAGACTAGGACAGGAGAATTTACTTTGCCTTGACTGGTTCTCGCTCTAACCAGCGAACTCTAACTTTTTGTTTATAATGATACTCTTTTAGAAAATCCTGCAACATTGATGGTAAAGGGAGCCCATCAATTCCATCGTATGTAGTGCATCTGCAGATGACTGCACGGCAGATATACTGCAAGCTAAAAGGGAAAGTCCTATTTAGTGAGATAGTAAGCAAAGGTTCAAAAAACATGCAAGAACTGGGATCTTTATAGTGTTCCAAAAGTCCCGTTACAGTGGAGGAGTGAAATACACATGGGTCGTGGGCATCAAAACTAAAGTTGTGATTCCACTGTTCGATTCGGGCATGCAGGGATCTGTTGTAGCGACGGAAGCTCACGGAGAAGAGGTAGTCCTCTTGGGCAGAGTCCCTGAGCAAAAAGGTGCCTTCAGGCTTCCCTTCAAGAAGGGCTTCTGCTTCATAGCGGTCCATCACCCCCCAGTAACAGGGATTGCCTGTAATCTGAAGTAGATCAGGCACAAGGCAGTGGATATAATCAATCTGCGTATGGACTTTCCAAGCTCCCTGTCTGCTAACATGGGCATGGCTATCTCCAGATACCTGGCGTTGCTTCTGCCTGCGTGACTGCAAACACAGCGTGGTTGTGTCCTCTTCGGAGTCACAGTTAGCTTGTGGCATTGCAGAACTGTCCCCACTTATTTCAGTCATGCCAGGAGCTAACTTTGGTCCCAGTTTATATAAGGGATTAACCTGTGCAGTGGCTTCAAATGTATGTATTTGTGCATTGGGAGGGGGGTCAACCCCTTCTTCTATACTAAGCCGTCTTCTCTCTCTAAGTCTATCTTCTTCATCTTCTGTAGAAACCAAGGATGGATCAAATGTATCAAAAAATGTTGAATGTGGGCTCACTGGGGCTGTATGCTGTTTAATCAAATGCCATTTTTGGGCTAAATCTGAGCCAGCAGGAAAAGGACATTTCTCAAGCATTAGTTCAGAAAGGTGTATTTTTCTTTTATTAGAAAAGAGAGGCTTTGACTGCTTGCTATAAGTTCTCATGGGAAAACACAAGCCCACCGTATCCTGTAACCTCTGTCTCAGAGAGCGACTTCCTACAGTTCGGCTGGAAACACTGTCCATGTCATGTACGGAGCTTACGCCGTACCGCCTCTCTCTCCTCTGAAGTCCACTTCGAGTTCTACCAAACTTTTTATCAGTATCCAGAGAACTCTGAGTCTTTGTAGAACAGGAATGTTTCTTCTTCCCACCCCACGGAGCATGTCGAGAGTAGGAATCTCTTCTTGCAAGTCTTGATCCTGTGGTGACACATGGATCGTTGTCCTTTTCAATGCTTATTTCAACAATCTGAGGAATTTCAGTGGCACAGTTTGGGTTTCTCCTCGAAGAATTCTTTGAAGGGCTTAATCCCAGTTGTAAGGCAACATTTTCTCTTAAGGGACTGCTTTGTTGCTGAGGAGCTGAGTCTCCTATACTGATGCTTTTCTCTCTGACAGCCAAACATCTGTTGGAGTTCATGTCCACATTTTCACTACGGCTTCCTCCCTCATGACTGAAGAGATTCTGACACCTGTATTTGAAGTTATTCCACATTTTCCCCACTTTATCCATTGATTATAAGACCTAAAGACAAAACAGGGAAAGAAGAAAAATACGTTAAAATGGTGTGTGAAAACAGAAAAGGCAGAACCTACTTCCCCTCTTTTTGAAAATTTCAGCAATACTAGTCAAGAGTCCGCCTTCCATTACTAAAGTGATAGGACAGACATCCGCTAGGTAGCTGTTAAGGTTACCAGGCCATTTGTGGCGCTCATTCAAGCTAGTCCTCGCTTCCCATTTCCTTTCAGATAACATATTCAGGACTCAGGGGAAAGGAAAGAAACACTTTCAATTAAACTCTGGTTTCTTTTTCCCATGTATCAATCTAATTTCATTATGACATTGATTGTCTCCTTACTTTGAATAATTTAGGTACTTGCCTCAGTATGAAAAGGGAAAACAGTCTATATTGTTGAAACATATCTGATTCAATTTCTCAAAAGTTATAAGTAGGACCACATTATATATTAAAATTAGTTAAAAGCCTTTAAGTAGCAATCTTCCCAATTTCACTTACCAATTATTACTCCACTAACCTAGCAACCTAAAGCTTACAGTTAATCACTTGTAAAAATTCCATATCTTCCCTCTCCACCCTACAATGTATTATATCTTATAAGATATAATCCTTTCCTTTTTTATTATGTCTGGTAGATTTCCTTGGTGTCACTTTCCAACATTTCTAGTTCAGTTACAATTTTTCTATCACAGTTTTAATTTCCAAAACAATTTTCTTGCTCTCTGTTCTTCTTTATTTAATATATACACACACACACACATATATATATATACATATACATACACACACACACACACACACACACACACACACACACATATATATATATATATATATATATATATATATTTTTTTTTTTTTTTTTTTTTTTTTTTTTTTCAGAGAGGAAGGGAGAGGGAGATAGAAACATCAATGATGAGAACCATCAATTGGTTGCCTTCTGCACGCCCCCTACTGGGGATAGCAACCCAGGCATATGCCCTTGACTGGTCTTGAACCTGGCACCTGTTAGTCCAGTGGTTGATGCGCTATCCACTGAGCAAACTCAGCTAGGGCTTTCTGATGTTCTTTTTAATAGCATCCTGTTTTAATTTCTTGGCTGTAATATCTCATTTCACTAAGGATAGCAAACATTTTTAAAGTTTTCTTTAACATTTTAAGTATTTTTATCTGTTTCTATCAGTACTGTTTTCTTCTTAAGTCCCTGTCTGATGAGCCCTGGCTATCCATCAGCATTAACATGCTAATCAGAAGCTCTGTCTACTTGAGAGAGTTGTTTGCCAACTGATTGGTTTTACTACAAGGTAATGAGTCAATGAGTTATTTTTTTATCCCCAAAAGTCAGTATCTATAAGTCTGTCTGCCTGGCAGGCTCATCCCAGGGACAAATGCTCCAATCTCTTCTCTAGAGCATACAGGGGTGGGCAAAAGTAGGTTAATAATAATAATAATAATATAATAATAATAATATAATTACTTAATACATAGTAATACAAGAATAAACTCTTGTGAGTACTCATAACTGAAAGCCTACTTTTGCCAACCCCCATATATACCTGACTGCCATGTTTTGAAAACAGAGCAAGAGAATAACCTCAACCTTAAGTCCCTGTTTTTTCAAAGGTGTCCTTATTTATAAAAGCTGTCCCAGCTCCAGCTATACCCAAACCTCTTAATTAAATTTCTCCAGCTCCAGCTATAACCAAACCTCTTGATTAAGTTTCTCTCAGCTCTAACCTCTGGTTTCATCTAAGGTAAAGGAATGGTGATCTTCTGGCTGCGGAGGATGAAGGACAACACATGGGAGCCTGATGCATACACTTTCAACCATACCTGGTTTCAGCTGTATACTTCATCCTTACCCTCTGAAGGAGCTGGGCCTTCTAATTTCTGAGCCAGCAGTGTAAATTGGTTTGCTCCTTTCTAACAGACTCATTTTTCAGGTGCTTAGATTGCCGTTCTCAGTGCTGTTAATTTCCAGTGACTTGCTTTTACCAAAAACTTGATCAATTAGGCCTATTTTTGTCTTCTCTCATTTGTTTTCTGCTTGTGAATTTATTCCTTATGCTTTTTTTTATTCCTTTAGTTTTAGTGGGCATATGCAGGAGGCAACCAATCGATGTCTCTCTCTCACATCAGATGTGTTTTTTTTCCCCCGTCCCTCTCCTCTTCCTGTCCATTCTCTCTAAAAATCAATGGGAAAAATATCTCAGGTACGGATTTAAAAAAAAAAAAAAAAAAAAAGGACAATGCTCTGAAGTAGGGTGTGAAGAATACTAAATAAACTATGTGCCACAATCTCATCACTATTTCTGATGTTTTTATTTTTGTCATGTAGACCTATAGAATCCTAGGAGAGACTGTCTAGAGCACTGGCTCTTTTTACTAAAAGATGTAAGAACAAATTACTGGAAATAGGAAATGTAAAAAAAAACACACGAAATGCAAGTGCATTATTAGATTGAACAGACATAAAAATAACTGTCAAATTGCTATAAAATATGTTAAATGCTTGCTTTTAATTTCTATACCTAACTTATTGTCTTTCTGGCATTAATTCACAGCCCATACTTTTAGGAGCTCTGGTATACAGTTGTGCTATTTAATACATGTGGTTATTGAGTCCCTGAAATTTGGCTAGTGTCACCTACTGAAATAATAGCATGGATATAACTGGTTAAATATATCAATAAAATTAATTTCATCTGCTTTTTACTTTTTCAATATGGTTACTAAAAAATTAAAAATTACACATATGGTTCAAATTATATTTCTTTTGGACAGTAACTGATTTAAAGCAGGGATCAGCAAACTCTATAGCTGAGGACAAAATATGGCCTGTGGCCTATTTCTGTATGGACCCTGGCTAAGAATGTTTTTTCCATTTCTAAAAAATATATTTTATTGATTTTTTTTTTTTTTAGAGAAGAAGGGAGAGGGATAGTTAGAAACATCGATGAGAGAGGAACATCGATCAGCTGCCTCCTGCACACCCCCTACTGGGGATGTACCTGCTACCAAGGTACATGCCCTTGACTGGAATTGAACTTGGGACCCTTCAATCTGCAGTCCGACGTTCTATCCATGGAGCAAAACCGGTCAGGGCTGTTATTTACATTTTTAAAGGGATTAATAAACAACAACAACAAAAACCCTCAAAGAACATTGACAGAAACCACATGTAGCCTGCAAAACCTAAAATATTTTCCATCTGTCCCTTTACAGAAAGTTTAATGACCCTGGTCTACAGGATGTAAAATTACAAACCATACCATGATAGACATTAGAATAGCAATATTTAAGAAATTAGAGTCTTTTTTCTATATGTTTACAACATAAATTTTGTAGCTATCTAAAAATATTTCTTTGACAAGCAAATTATACTTGAAAAATGACTGTTTTAGAAAGCAACCAAACTTAAAACCATTTATCTCCTTATACAGCTGTTTATAAGTTGAATAACCAAGTGGGACATGCAAAAAACAACTGTACTTGCCAGGTTACAAAAGGCAGTTTCTAATACTGAAACTTTGGTTCAGTTTTATAAATAGAGCATGAGACTTAGTGATTTCTCTATTTCTAATCTGAATATGCTGACAGATTACATCGTGACAAAATACTCTAATTTAAAGAAAGACTATTATGCTTCCACACCCTTTGGGGATATAAAGTGGAATTTTTCTTGATGTGGGAAATGCTATGTGGGCGGCTGTAATACTGGGAATAAAAAAATTCTGATAATGATTCATAGAAGAGGCCATGTAAGAATCAGGCAGGCATTTCAGCTATCTTTATTTTATTTTTTTAATATTTTGCCTTGACATTCTCAGAAGTTTTGTGTTGTTTTTTTAAAATTTTTATTTATTTACTGATTTGAGAGAGAGAAAGAAACATCAAATTGTTGCTCCACTTATTTATGCATTCATTGGTTGTTTCTTGTATGTGCCCTGACCAGAGGTCAAACCTGCAACCTTGATGAATGTGGACAACACTCTAACCAATGAGCTACTGGGCCAGGGCCTGCATTTCAACTATCTTAATATTTACAATGTCAGTTTTGAGGTTCTTTTGTTTGTTTTGTTGCTAAATTTTAGGAAATATTTTTGGCTGAAACACTTTGAAACCTAAATTACTACTCTATTACTTTATATAACACTAGAGGACCAGTGCATAAAATTTGTGCATGGGGTGGGGGGGTGTCCCTCAGCCCAGCCTGCACCCTTTCCAATCTGGGACATCCCTCTCACAATCAAGGACTGCTGGCTCCCAACTGCTCACCTGCCTGCTTTCCTGATTGCCCTTAATGCCCCTAACCACTTCTGCCTGCCAGCCTAATCACCCCCTAACCACTCCCCTGCCAGACTGACTGATGCCTAACTGCTCCCCTGCCAGCCTAATTGCTCCTAACTGCCCTCCCTTGCAGGCCTGATTCCTCCCAACTGTCCTCCCCTGCTGGCCATCTTGTGGCAGTCATCTTGTGTCCACATGGGGGCAGCCATCTTGTGTGTTGGAGTGATAGTCAATTTGCATATTACTCTTTTATTAGATAGGATTAGATAGGATAGAAGCCCAGGTGGGATCTGGCTGGTTTGTCCTGAAGGGTGTCCTGAATCAGGGTGGGGGTTCTCTTGTGGCATGGGGCAGCCTGGGCGAGGAGCCTGTGGTGGTATGCAGCCGGCCACGCACCCACGCCACCCAAGCAGAGGCCCTGGTATCTGGGATTAATTTATCTTCTAATATTGAAACTTTGTAGCCTTGAGTGCAGGCCAGAAAGTTTGGCTTCCTCCATCGCTGGGGAAACCCAAGTCTCCTGCTTCTCCATGGCTACAGCCATTTTTGTTGTGATTTATTTATCTTCTATAATTGTAACTTAGTAGCCAAGATAGGCCAGGGCAGGCAGAAAGCTTGTCTTCCTCCATTGCTGGGGAAAGCAAGCCTCTTGCTTGCTCCGTGGCCGCAGTCATCTTGGTTGGGTTGATTTGCATACTTACTC